AGAATTGAGGCAGTTCTGAAGGCAAAAGGGAGTCCAACCCATTACTAGCGTGGTGTACCTAATAAAGTGGCCGGTGAGTGTATATATACATAAACTAGAATAGACGATTCAAAAACTAAAATTCTGGGCATAAAATAAATAAAAATGTTTAAAGTAAATGTTTCAAATAATAAAAAAACTGTAAAAATAAATTTTATAAAGTACAAATGAAAATATAGCCTTTTTAAACTTTTGCAACCAGAAGCTGCTCTTCATATTAGTGACAAACAATAACAGTAACAACAGCTTTTTGACAAGTTTAAAATTTCTTTAAAATGCATTCACAATGTTTTTAAAAAGTACAAAAATTAATTTAAAGTTCAAATTAAAATATAGTTGTAATTGCAAATGTATTTGATAATGCTTTTGAACTTTTAAAATACTGCATGGTAAAAACATAAGCTGCACCTCATATTAGTAACAAACTTTGTTGTTGTTGTTGTTGTTGTTTTTTTGTTTGTTTGTTTTGACGAGTTACTTTTATTTTTGGTTCTACTTTTAATTAAAATAGGTTTCCATTTTCAGCAGAATTCTAAGGTTCTTCTTCTACATATTAAAAAAGTTGTTATACAACTGAGTGACGCACTACTGCAACTAGTGGTGAGAAAGTGTATTGCACCTTGTTCAAAATCAATGCGGTCCCGCGGCCCTCTGCAGCCCAAAGTTAAAAACTGTTGTTCTTTTGAGGCCCTCAAGGTGGCGCTCGCGGCCCATAGGTTTAGAATCTTTGCAAATGTAACTCCTCTATTAGGACAGATGCACACGTAACGGACATAACACATGCAGCACACAGGACTCACATCTTTCTAAATAAAAAAAGTAATTAATTAAAAAAAATTAAAACTTCCATCTTTTTTATTGGTCTGTGCTCTGTACAGCCCTGTCATTTTTGTCCAATGGAACGTGGCTTTGTTTATAAATTATAGTCCACTTAGAAAGCACAGTGTGAATGCAAACCACACAAAAGGAAAAAAATAAAGTCTGCTTTTAATCCAGACCAAACAAGCAGACCAAAGGACTTTCCTGGTGTGAATGCAACCTAATATCAGTTGGCTGTGGTAGCCATCTTGAATACACCTAATGATAGTGGTTGTTTTGTTAGGAATCATTACATGAAAATAAGCTGGGGGTTTTGTACAGTAACTTTTATAAATTGTGTCTTTACCTAGAAAAATGGTGTGTAGTATCAACTCGGAGTACAACTTGCTCTTTTTTCCCCCTCAGGTTTATCTATCAGAGTGGAAAGGTCATAAGGTGGCCCTGTCACAACTGGCCTGTCAGGATTACCTGGAAGACTTTCTTCATGGGTTGTCGATGTTACAGGCCTTACAAAGCCCACTGGTAGTCCAGTTGGTGGGGTTCTGCCTTGAAAACAACACCATCGTTACCCAGCACCACCCACATGGCTCACTGCTCAACCTGGAAAACGTTCTTGCCCAAGAACGGCACCAGCAGCACAACACGTGGCAGGCACGGCTGAGACTAGCTACAGAATATGTCGCCATTCTCCATTATCTTCATAACAGTCCAGCTGGGCGGAGAGTAATGTGCGATTCCAACAGCTTAGAGAAAACTCTTTCCCAATTTTTGCTGACAAACGACTTTCATTTGGTGGTGAATGATCTGGATGCACTTCCTGAAGTGAATCGTTCGAGGAACTTATTGGTAAAATGTGGCCATCGGGAGCTCACCGGTGATTTTGTTGCCCCAGAGCAACTTTGGCCTTTCAGAAATAGCGGGCAGCCGTTTTCAGACAGTGCCATGCCTGCATATGATGAAAAGACAGATATCTGGAAGATTCCAAGGGTGACACAGTTCATATTGGGAGAGACACCTGAAACAGAATTAGTTCACTTTCATCTTTTTCAAATCCACAAGAAATGCAGGGAGGAGGACCCCGAGCTCCGACCTTCAGCTCTCGATGTTCTGAAAGTCTACAGAGCAGTCCACAGTGCCATGGTACAAGACACTTCTGCTGCCAGAGATATGCTGTAGAATAATCCTGTTTAAAAATGACTGTCAGCTTTTTTTATTTGTCATAAAATAAAATAGATCTTTGTATTTTGTTAATCAATTATTTTCCTAAAATAAATAAATCCACTATATAAGGTGCAGCAACAAGCAGCCTGTTCTTTCAGTTTGATGGGAAGAGTAAAGAGAAGCCTATTGCAACAATACCAAAGGGGGTGCGTTTGCTTATGTGTAGAATCATGATGTGACAGAACTGTACTGCAATAAATGTAATTTATTCAGGCGTTTAGCTAGGATTTTGGAAAATACCCTCTATATCCTTAGGCTGCAGGTTCAGAGGCCATCCTACAGTTTAGCTAGTCACTTTATTGACTGATCACAACAACAACTACTAAAGCAGCAAAATTACTTCCCACCACCTCTATCCAAACTCATTACCGGTATGGCTTTATTGACATCCAGTGGTGGGCAGCACTAATCTAAAAATTAGTCCCACTAGCCCTAAAACACTAACTCACATATTTAGGTCCCCTAATTCTAAAGCACTAATGCACTGAAAGTTTTAGCAAAAGCTAATTCTAAAGCACTAAAATAACCCAATTAACCCATGAACATTCTTCAACAGACAACATGAGTCACATGTTGTCATGTTGCTCTCTGAAGACTTATTATTGACATTTCACAGCTGTATTTGAGTTCATATATTGTCACCTGGTGGATAAGTGACACACATATGAACAAAATGTGTGACAGCTTTCACCCTCAGCTGTTAACATTAATATTGATCAATAACCTTTATAGACCTCTTCTAAATTTAGCATATAAATTTAGCAAGTGCTAATCCACTAATTTTAAAATTAGCAAAAGCTGTGCCCACCACTGTTGAGGGCGTTGTTAAAACCCTGTCACACTAGACAACTTATGCCAACTTATGAACATTTTAAAGATGTCTACATTGAAGATGGAATTGAAAAAATCAACAGGAAGCTTCTTTTTGGCATGTACATAATGCAATTCAAACAAATTGTTCAAATATATAACTTTTATTGGCAATTTAGACATAAAAAATGTTTCATAAGTTGGCATATGTTGTCTAGTGTAACAGGGCCTTTACATGGAAATGGGGAATCACAAAACTGAAGAAGGCATCAAAATAACACCCAGACAACCCTCTAGCTAGTGACTTAAATAAATTCATTATCAAATATGAATAATACACTGCCCAGCCAAAAAAATAAAGTCACCACCTGGATTTAACTGAGGTCTATGATGTGTGTTTGCTGCAGTTGATCAGGTCTAGGTTCAGCAACAGGATGTGCTCAAAGAATGGGGTCAGCTGACTACCTGTATAAACTGAGTGACCAGGTTATTCTATCAGTGGATCAAGAGAATGAGCCAAAATAAAAGTTTTTCTGCACACACAAGCAGTCAAAATGGTCACCAAGTAGAAGAAATGGTTTTCAGCACTTCTCTTGTTATCTTTGGATTTATTAAACTTTTCAAAACTGGAGCAACAACTCAAAAGATTTTTGTTGAATAATAAAAGCAACAAAAAGAAACTTTTTTTGAAAATCAATTAGTTTAATTCTGTAGTTTGTCATTGACATATAGAATAAAATAATATCTATTGAAACCAAAGGCCATACAGGGTGTCAGAGATATCTCTGAGAGGGCTGACAAAAAAATTAATTCATTATGAGACATGGCTGCTTGCAGCTGTATCAGGACATCATAAATATATTCTTTACCATTTTCTAAAATTATTCAAAACTAATCTCAAGAGTACAAAATCAACAGATTCCATCACGTCATTATCTACTAACAATGAGATCAAAATGGAAAAACCAAGTGACAAAATACGGAGTGAAAAACTCTTAGCTGTAATAACTCAGTAGTCATTTTCTGTATGACTATCAGTCTCACAGTTGTAGTGGACATTTTTCCCACTTCCTTTTACATCATTGTTTCAGTTCATGGAGTTTTGTAAACAATTTTTGCACAACTCTCTTAAAGTCATTTTAGCAACTTAGTCAGGTTGAGTGCAGGACCTTGACTGGATCTTTGCAACACCTTTTTTTCCCCAGCTGTTCATTTGCTGCTGTGCTTGGATCAATGTCTCATTCATCATGGCCCAAATTCAGTTCAAGCTTCAGCTGTTTCACCTGCAGAACGCTGCCCAGTTACCCTGTAACTGCTAATGAGACAAAGCCTGAAGGCATGATACTGCTACCACCATGCTTCACTGTGGGGACGGTGTTCTCAGTATGATGAGAGGTATTGGTTTACACAACAATGTTCATAATGACCAAAAAATGTATTTTTAGTCTCATCTGACCAAAAGGGAAAGGCTTTAACTCATTTCATCTGATTCCATTAGATTTGTTGAAAGATATGGAACAAAATGAAACAAAGTTAATGGAATATAAAATCAGTATCACCAACGTTTTCATGAGCAGCTACTAATTTAGCTGCTGGGATCTGATTGGTCAGAACTAGGAGATGAAGCTGGCCACGTGTGTGGTCAGCAACCTCCTGCCATAGTTTCTGGTTTCCTATACTTTTTAAACTTGAGCAGGCACTTTAAGGTAAGTCATTTAAATAATGGCTACAAAGGGTGTCTTTTACCTCATAGGGGTTGCTGGACTTTACCCAGGAGAAGCTGGATAGTGTTGTTGAGCAAAGAGATGCCTTGGATTTATCAATCCTTCTACTTGATGAAAATGGATGAACGGTTGCAATGCAAGACAAATCAGATACGGATTAAACTGTAGTAATATTCAGAAAAGTTGCCTTCAGCTTTTAATGTTTTTGTTGTGAATGACTCAAAAATTAAATATGTCAAATCCAAGCAGCTAAAATTTCAGAAACTAAAATGTGAATAAAAAACAAGCTAGACAACTTTGCTGGATACATTTGCATTTCAATCTTAACAACTAGCACATTACAAATAAAGCACCACACTAACACAAAGTCTATACCAATGAAAGCACTGTAAAAATGGACAAAAAACCCCACAATATCTTATTTTAGGTTTTAATTCTAAAATGTTTTGGGATGTTGGTGTTTTGACGGGAGGGCAAGCATTGTCTCCCTGTAAATATGAGGAGTAATGCTGATAAGTTGGCTTCGATGGAAGTATGCTTGCCGCTTGCACAGCCCTATGCGACTAAGCAACATCAGGATGTCTCTATGAAATGCTTTTGTTAGAATAGCATAAAAAAATGGGTGTGCACAAGAGTTGAGTGGATAGAAAAGCACAAGCAGCACCTATGGGGAAAATATGAATTAGAATTTGTTTTAAGAACATTCTAGATTAACACTAAATTGAAAAGTTCCCACCTTAGAATCTGTGACGGTCATCAGGGGTTGGTGGAAGGCTGCAGACAATCCGTAAAAGCAAATGGGAGCTAGACACAGAAAGTTGGTAAAAATAAGAACAGCCATACGTTTTGCCATACTGGTATCAAATCTGCTGGAATGATGCTGGGGATTGTGCACCATACAGTAGATGTGAAGGTAACATAAGCAAACAACTACAAAAGCAATGACATTACTCATCAAGACAGAAACTATATAAGCCCGGGCAAGAGTTGTCTCTGTGTCCATGGGCAAACAAATGCTCACTTTCTGGTAGGAGTTCACACCAAGTACTGGCAGAAGAGCTATGGTCACGCAAAGCAACCACCCTATGAGCATCAGAACAGCTGTGTGTCGCAACCTCATTTGTCTATCTGGCCTCATTGCATTAAAAATGGCATGCCAGCGCTGAAAACTGATTAAAGTTAATGTGTATACAGATAACTCACTAGCAAAGACGGATAAAATCCCTGCCAGATTACACCCACTTCCTGTCTGCCAGGAAATGGCATAATGATAATAACGAGAATGTGTGTAGAAATCAACAAATGCAATGAGTATTAGGTACATTCCCATACATCCATCTGCAAAGGCCAGGTGACCCAATAGGAAACGGGTGACGGACAACTTTTGTTGGCAAGTCAACAGGGTTAGCAGCACCAAAGAGTTGGCTGAGATAGCTAACAAACTAACTACCCAGACTAAAACCTTCAGAAAGCCTTGACTCATCACATCCTCACAGGGGTTTAAGGCGTCAGGCAGAGGTGTGCATAAAGGTCCATCATCTTTGTCATAATCATCACACAGACTATTGTCAAAATCATCTCTGAGCCGCTCTACGGCTAAATCCGCTGAAAAAAAACCCTCATCCTGAGACACTTCGGTTGCACAAGCAATGTTATTGTTGTTCAAATTGTAATTTGTGCTGCCAGTATTTGGAACATTAACGCTGTTTTGCAGATATTGGGAGATTTGGTGTTCTGGAAACTTCTGCGAGACAACAGGAGAAGATTCCTTAAGCTTTCCCAAACCAGCCCTGGTCAGGTTGCAGAAAACTGCTTCTGTGTGTCTTGAATATAAAAAAAGACAGAAGAGTTGTTATCAGCACAGCAGTTTAACATAAACATATGCATGCACAAGACCAAAATGTTTGCACTAAGAATATCAAAAATGTTTTAAAAGTACCAAATTTCTATTTATTTTGCTAATAAACCTTTGTAACTATTCACTATGTTTTTTGATAAAGAGATAAATGTTGAGCATATCTTTGGGAGAGGTGGGGAATAGGGATGGAGGTACTCAGTTTGGCTCAGAAGTAAGAGAGTGGGGCTTTGACTAAAATAGGTTGGGAACCACTGCCATAGATCGTAGATCAATGATTGACTTTGTTGTCATGTCATATGACTGTATATTTTGGACACTCAAGTACAGAAAGGAACTGAGCTGTCAACCAATCACCACCTGATGGTGAGTTGGATCAGATGGTTGGGGAAGATGCCAGACTCAAACGTGTACTGAAGGTTTGGTCAGGGTTTGCAGTGGCCATCCTCAAACTCGATAGTGAACACCCTGGATTAAGGAGGCTGTCAAGTTGAAGAAGGAGTTCTATCAGGTCTTATTGGCCAGTAGGATGCCAGAAGCTTCTGAAGCGTATCAGCAAGCCATGAGAGCCACAGCCTTGGTTGTTGCTGATGTGAGCGGAGTTCGGCGAGGTCTTGGAGAAAGACTCGATGAGCTCCGAGGAGACTATGGGAAATGATCAGGTGGCTGAGGTGGGAAAAGCAGCACTTCACTAACACTGTGTTCAGTGAAGGTGGGATGCTGTTGACCTCAACCAATGATGTTGGTGGGAGGTGGAAGGAATGCTTACAGGGCCTTCTGAATCCCACTGTGCATGCCTTCCATGGAGGAAGCTAAGTCAGAGGACTTTGGGGTTTGTCTTTCCACTACGGTGGGTGAGCTTGCTGAGGTAGTTAAAAAGCTCCACGGTGGCAGGGACGAGATCTTCCCTGCCTTCCTTAAGGCCCTCAATGTTGTGGGGCTGTCTTGGTTGACACGCCTTTGCAACATGGCATGGACATCAGGGGCAGTGCCTCTGGATTTGCAGACAGGGGTGTGGTGGTTCCCCTCTTCAAAAAGATGAATCAGAGGGTGTGTTTTCAATTATTGGGGGTTCCATCCTGGCCTAGAACATTGGAACAGGCATTTGACCGTGTTCCTCGAGGTGCAATGTAAGGGATGCTTTGCACTTATGAGATTGTGAGTCTCTTGTTATAAGACATTCAGTCCTCAGTCCCTATACAGTCCCTATAGTGCAAGAATTTGGTTCACGTTACCGGCTGTAAGTCAGACCCCTTCAGGATGGAAGTTGGACTTGCACGCCATCACTGATTCAGCTCATAACTTTCATGGACAGAATTTTCCTGTGTAGCCAGGGGGTGGAGGGAGTTCAGTTTGGTGGCCTCAAGATTTCATCTCTTTTTGCACATGATGTGGTCCTGTTGGTATCATCATGCCATGTTGTTCAGCTCTCACTGGAGCGGTTCACAGCTGAGTGTGAAGCAGCCGGGATGAGGATCAGCACCTCCAAATCTGATTCCATAGACCAGAAATGACAGAAAGAACAAGATCATGAATACAAAATCAAAATGAGTTTTCTCCACAGGGTAGTTGGAATCTCCCTTAGAGATAGGGCAAGAAGTTCAGTTATCCAGGAAAGACTCAGAGCTGCTGCTCCTCCACATCAAGAGGAGCCAGTTGATGTGGCCTCCCTAGAGGGAGGTGCTTCAGGGATGTCTGAGTGAGAGGAGACCCTGGTGAAGACACAGAACACACCGGAGAGACTGTGTCTTATTTAGCCTTGAACCTCCTTGAAATCCTCTGGATGGAATAGGTAGCTGGGGCAAGAGATGTCTGGGCCTCGCTGCTCTGGCACAAGCAGTAGATATTGGATTGGATAAATTATTATTTCTTAACATGTGACTTACACCCCTGGTCAGTTTAACACTAATTTTAACCCTCACTCATGTGACCAAAACGGTTCTCATGTGAACCACACCACAGAGACTACCTGCTTGATTGGAGAAAGTGAAATGTAAGTGAATTCAGTTATTTGAAAAAGAGCATTTCACTGAAGTTTTAAAACCTAAAAT